ATTGGCCAACTAAAAATATACAGAAAAAATTAGCCGGGCATGGTAGCACATCCCTATAGTCCCAGCTACTTGGGAAGCTGAGGCAGGAGGATTGCTTGAGCCCATGAGTTTCAGGTTGCTGTGAGCTAGGCTGATGCCATGGCACTCTAGCCTGTGCAACAGAGTGAAACACTGTTTCGAAAAAAACCAAAGACAAAAAAACCCCAAACAAACTAGCCAGGCATGGTGGCACATGCCTGTAGTCCCAGCTACTCAGGAGGCTGAGACAGAAGGATCACTTGAGCCCAGGAGTTTGAGGTTGCTGTGAGCTAGGGTCGACGCCATGGCACTCTAGCCCAGGATAACAGAGTGAGACTATGTCTCAAAAAAAAAAAAAAAAAAGACAACATAGAAAGTGCAAGTTTCTAGTAACATCATCACATGTAATCGGCTAGTAGGAAATTCAGTACATGTTTCTCTAGAGCAAAGGTGGGCAAAATATTTCCATAAAGCACCAGTAAATATTTTAGGCTTTGAAGACCATATAATCTCTGTTGAAATTACTCAACCCTGACATTGGTAGCATGAAAGCATCCATAAGCAATATGTAAACAAATGAGCATAGCAGTGTTCCAACAAAACTTTATTTACAAAAACAGGCAGATGGTAGGATTTGGCCCATTAGCTGTTTTGCCCCCAACTCTACACTGTTTCTTTCTTTTTTTTTTTTTTTTTGAGACAGAGTCTTGTTCTGTTGCCTTGGCTAGAGTGCGGTGGCGTCATCATCATCCATAGCTCACTGCAACCTCAAACTCCAAGGTGATCCTCCTGCCTCAGTCTAACCAGTAGCTAGGACTATAGGCATGCACCACCACACCCAATTCATTTTTCTATTTTTTGTAGAGATGGGGTCTAGCTCTTGCTCAGGCTGGTCTCAAACTCCAGATCTCAAGTGATCTTCCAGCCTTGGCCTCCCAGAGTGCCAGGATTATAGATGTGAGCCACAGCACCAGCCCATTGTTTCTTTTTTTCTCTGCATATGCTATTGCGCATGCATATGTGTTCTCACATACGTAGTTATATGAAAATTAATAAAAATGGGGCCAAATTTTATATACTGCTTTGGAACTTCTTTTCATAATATATCTTGGACATTTTCTCATAACACCTAGAGATCTATCTCTCAAGTGTACAAAAATACTCTATTTGTTTAGTTAATGCTAAACTGATTAACATTTAATTGCCTCTGATTTTCTGATATTATAAAAAAGCTGGCAATAAACATTAACTACATAGAACTACACATTCCATTATAATAGCTACTAGCCAAATGTGGCTACTGAGCACCTGAAATGAGGCTAATACAAATTTTCTGTAAGTGTAAAATACACACTAGATTTTAAAGACCTAGTAAAAAAAATGTAAAATATCTCATTAATATTCTTTATGTTGACTACATAATAAAATATTTCAGATATATTGGGTTAAATAAAATATATTATTAAAATTAGTTTCACTTGTTTCTTTTTTAAAGTGGCTACTAGAAAATCTAAAATTACAAATGTGATTCATTTATTTTGGCAGCACTATTCTAGAACATGTATCTTTAGGTATATGTGCATTTCTGAGGTACATTTATCTGAAACTAAATTCCCTGAATTAAAAGTATAGACAATGGCTAGGTGCGGTGGTTCATGCTTATAATCCTAGCACTCTGGGAGATTGAGGCGGGAGGATTGTTTGAGCTCAGGAGTTCCAGACCAGCCTGAGCAAGAGTGAGACCTCACCTCTACCAAAAATAGAAAAAAAAGTTAGCCGGGCACAGTGGCACACATTTGTAGTCCTAGCTACTGGGGAGGCTGAGGCAGGAGATCGCTTGAGCCCAAGAAATTGAGGTTGCAGTTAGCTATGATGATGCCACTGCACTCTACCCAGGGCAACAGAGTGAGATTCTGTCTCCAAAAAAAAAAAAAGTGTAGATATTTAAAATTCTGCATGTGACTGTTTTCTCTTTCTGGAAGTTTGAAGGATCTTCTCTTTGTACTCATTATTCTGAAATTTCACAATGATGCACCTTGGTGTGTTCTATCATCCATTATGCTGGGTATTCAGTCTGACCTGGAAACAAGTCTCTGAATATTGGGAAATTATTTTGCTAATGATTTCCTCCCTTCTACATTCTCTGTTCTTTCTCTGGAATTCCTATTACTTAGCAACTGGGCCTCCTTGGACTCTTCTCAAATCTTCTTATATTGTTTATCCTACTTTTCATTTCTCCGTCTCTTTGCTTTACTTTCCTTTTTTGAGACAGTCTTGCTCTGTTGCCTGGGCTAGAGTGCAGTGGTGTCATCATAGCTCAATGCAACCTCAAACTCCTGGGCCCAAGTGACCTTGCTGCTTCAGCTTCCCAAGTAGCTGGAACTACAGAAGTGTGCCACCAGGCCTGGCTAATTTTTATATTTTTTGTAGAGACAGGGTCTCATTATGTTGCTCAGGCTGGTCTTAAAGTCCTGGCCTCAAGCAATCCTCTGCCTCCCAAAGTGCTAAGATTACAAGTGAGGCACTGTGCTCAGCCATTCTTTGCTTTACTTTCCTCAACCCTTATATTCCAAACTAATAAGTTTCAGATTTTTGTTTAGTATGTTTTTTTTTTTTTTTTGAGACAGAGTCTCGCTTTCTTGCCTAGGTTAGAGTGAGTGCCATGGCGTCAGCCTAGCTCACAGCAACCTCAAACTCCTGGGCTTAAGCAATCCTACTGCCTCAGCCTCCCGAGTTGCTGGGACTACAGGCACGAGCCACCATGCCCGGCTAATTTTTTTTATATATATATATTAGTTGGCCAATTAATTTCTTTCTATTTTTTATAGTAGAGACGGGGTCTCGCTCAGGCTGGTTTTGAACTCCTGACCTTGAGCAATCCGCCCGCCTCGGCCTCCCAGAGTGCTAGGATTACAAGCGTGAGCCACCGCGCCCGGCCAATATGTTTTTAATATCTAAGAACTCTGTTATTGTTTTTTGGGATGTTCATTTTTTTAAACATTGCTGTTACTGTTTCTTCTTTCTTATTAAAGGCTTTCCTCGGAAATCTGATGACCTTTGATAGTTCATATCTTTTCTTTTTTTTAGGCCTAAGTCACCTTACCTGATGTCTGCTCATATTTAAAAGTGGAGAACTACACTGTAGAATGATCTGGCTGGGATATTTCATTGGGGAAACCCTGTTGTCAGTATCGTTAAATGTTTTCTTTTGGGGTCATCAGATTTCCAAAAACATACTGTTTCAATCTCTTGTCTGATGGTACAGATCTGGCTATCAGCATTCTTAAGCATTAAACGGGAAAAGCAGGCAGTAAATATACACACATTCACTTAATCTCTCTCTTTTCAGTAGTACCCTGCCTCAACTGTATCTCATAACCTCTAGTCCAGAGACCCTCTTGTATTGTCCTCTCAGAGAAAAAAAAACCTTTGGTCTTTTTTGGAGACAGGAAAGCATCTAGTGATCTATGGCTTTCTAAATAAACTTGTAACCAATCTCCTTACATGTTCCTCTCCTCCTTTACTAACAGAAGGCCAATTCTTGAGCCTTTTGGGAATTCCCCAGTGTAAACAGACTTAATTCTCAGCATTTCCCTATACTGGCTCAGGATTCAGTTTTCTTGGGACTCCTAAGTCATTTAATAACAGCTTCAAACAGTTTGTTGTGGTTGCCTTCTCTTCTGTTTTCTCCATCCTTATGTGGACCTGTGCCTTAATAAAAATTTATTTATCATTATTTTATTGTTGTTTCAGGAGGGAGTGACATGTGTGTCTAATCTACCATTTTTACCTAGGTGTTCCTATGAGGTTTTTATAGGGCCAAAGCTGTCTCCCAACTTCTTGTGAATAACAAAATCTTTCATTAAATCACTCCTTGTAAAAGCATATCATAGACAATCCAGCCTATAAAGATGCATCGTTTACATGCAAAAGGCCTGTCTGCACCTTTATAAGAATTTATGTTTGGTAGCTCTGGGTTCACTTGTGTGCCCCAACTGGTAGTATCACTTACCAGTGTGAGAAAACAGTCATGTAAGAAAAGTTTAGAGATACAAGATGTTCTTAACACTAAATAGAGAAGAGAGATTTAAGAGAGCCCAAATGAAAACAGAAATAATTTTCTGGCTGGGTGCAGTGGCTTATGCCTGTATCCCATCACTGTGGGAGGCCGAGGTGGGAAGATTGCTTGAGGCCAGGAGTTGGACACCAGCTTCATCAAATTGTGATACCTTGTCTCTATAGCAACAAAAAAATCATCTAGGTATGGTGATACATGTCTCTAGTCCTAGCTACTGAGGATGAGGCAAGAGAGCCACTTGAGCCCAGGAATCTGAGGTTACAGTGAGCTATGATCTTGCCACTGCACTCCAGCCTGCACAACAGAGCAAGAACCTATCTCTTAAAAAAAAAAAAAAAAAAATTCTAAGACTACATTTATGCCAGGAAGAAAAAAACAAAATAGCCCAACTTCCAACTTTCTGGGCACCCACTCAGAAATGGTTGACTTATAGCAATTAACATTCTCAGCTTATCATGTGCTAAGGCATATATCATCATGGAATGAGCTATATATGCAGTCCTTTAGATCTCTAATTAAAAAAATACTTATTTTGTATGTTTCAATATATTCCAAGTCTTTATAATTTCCAGACTTGTCACTAATACCCTTCTACTTTGATGTTCTTTTTATGGTTTTTTATAAATAAATCAAGGTAGTAGGACTAGATTAACCAGAAATCAGTAACAGAAATCATATAGACGTTTCTTAGTCAAGGAGAACAACAAGCAATCATCTCAACAAATGACTTTTACCCAAGTACACCTAGGCAAAAAATCAGCACACAGATATTCAGTTAACTATATAGAAGCAGCTCACCCTTGCTGTAAGTTTCCACTCTAAAGGAACCCAAGTTTCAGAAGCAAGCCAACATTCCACCAGCCAACCTGGAAGGCCAGAAAAAGGCAATAAAGGCAGTAAGTACCTGCACTGATCCCCCATGGCGATCTGCAGCCAAGTGAGACGTCAGGTATGAGGTATTGGTCTGCCGGCTGGGCTGGATTTCCCACTCTCCTCGGCGCTCTGACGATGCAGTCTGCTCAGGCATTAGGAAGCATGAGAGCAAGATATGGAAGGAAAGGTGAAGCAACCAGCAGCAAGCAATCACAAAATCAAGTACAGTAGTGTCCCTGTAGGTTTTCTTTTTGGTTTGGATTTTAAACTAACAACCGCTGCAAAGCACTGAGAGAAAGTTAGCTTGGCTACATTCATTTCAGCCTAAAAAGCCAATACATAAACCTATAACATACCATCCTCACCCAGACACAGAAAAACAATAATGACCAAAAGTGGGCAGGGACTACCAAAAGTTGGAATCATCTTTTAGTTTCCATATTAGTAAAATTTCAATAGCCAATAAGCAGATCGAATTCAGAACGTTAAGACTGTTGGACAAAGGAACAGTCATAAATCAATTCACTGATTAAAGACCTATCTTAATAGACACTAACTACAGAAAGCTCCTGCATTAGGAGTCAATTTAATATGCCTTTTCCTTAAATAGGGAGCCCACTACTTTCAACATTAACCTCCATAAGACTTTGTACCAAGATAAAACAAGCAGTGGCTGGAATATGCTTCCTTACTTAAAGGAATGAACAAAGTATCTCTTCAAAAACAGGTTCACATGTAAAGTATATGAAAAGATGGGGGGATAAAAGTAAGGCTACATTGTTTGCCTGGTTCCTCTAGCTAACAGCCTCTAGTCTTGAATTAGAAAAAGTTTACTTTTTTTTTATTTGAGACAGAGTCTTGCTCTGTTGCCTGGGCTAGAGTGCCGTGGCATCATCATGGCTCACAGCAACCTCAAACTCCAGGGCTCAAGCAATCCTGCCTCAGTTTCCTGAGTAGCTGAGACTACAGGCATGCACCACCATGCCTGGCTAATTATATATATATATATATATATATATATATATATATATATATATATATATATATATATATAATTTTTAGTTGTCCAGCTAATTTCTATTTTTTTTTTTTTTTAGTAGAGACAGGGTCTCATTCTTGCTCAGGCTGGTCTCAAACTCCTAAGCTCAAACGATTCACCTGCCTCAGCCTCCCAGAGTGCTAGGATTACAGGCATGAGCCACCATGTCCCACCAAGTTTACTTGTTGACATGACTACTATGAGTTATTTTCTTCTAGAAAGCAAATGGCAAATCTTTTCTCAGCAAAAAGAGGGCCTTCAAATAAAAACTTCTTTGGATTCTGCTTTCACTTCTGCTATTATTCAGGCTCTCTTCATTCCTTCTTTACCTGTTTCTTAGATCTCATACTATTCTGATCTTGCTCATATGTGACTTTTGTTCTGAAGAATCTGTTTAGGTGCCTCTTCCCCTGTGCCAGATGGCTGAGGAGGTGTTAACATCATGATGCTCAGCTGTGACAGTCCTAAGGCTCTACAAAAATGAAAAATGAGTAGTTGGAGAGGCAGCAATGAGGGATTAGTAAATCAAATTTTAATTGCTGCTAATACAAACAGCAGCAGGGGTTGGGATGTGATATTGCTGCTCTGCATGAAAACCAGTAAGTACTCTATAAATCTTAGAAATGTTCACAGCTTTAAACGTTATATTTTATAAAAAAGGAAGAGTGAGGAAGTAATGGTTTGCAGCTCTATATTCACTTTCCCCTTTCAGTATCTTACTGACAAGAGTTGCTTAAAGCTCACCTCACCCATAAGTCACCAAAAAGGCATTTCCCATAAAAATCAGAGCCTTGTATACTAGCTACACTTTACTCGTCTTTATTAATGGAATATGAAGTCACAGGGGTAACAGCACTGTAAAGGATCCTGGCCATATTTTCTTTTATATTCCTCAGGGAATAAGTGTAATTATAAGAAGCCAGCTGTATTAACTTGCTTGCTATATCATCTTATAAATGAGAGGTTTAGTTTTACACTGTTTGTCACATTAGACAGAATCAAAGCTACCCAAATTATTGCCCCATACCTAACTATTTCTGCCAACAGAGCTTTGGATGTTTCATTTTCCAAAATCTGTGATATACAACATAACCATACTATTTTATAAACTTATTGACAGTGTTCATATTTTCAGAGCTCTTAATCTCATTTATTCTGACTACTATAGATCTGAGAATAAATCTATTCTTCTTTTTACTTTTTAAACTTTCTTTTAGAGACAGACCCCAGGTTTTACTTTGTTGCCCAGCCTAGAGTGCAGTGGAGAGATCGTAGCTCACTGTAACCTTGAATGCCTGATCTCAAGTGACCCTCTTGCCTGAGCCTCTTGATTAGCTGGGACTGGTGGCATGCATTAGGATACCCAGCTAATTTTTAAATCTTTTTTGGGTAGAGACAGGGTCTCACTATGTTGCCCAGGCTGGTCTTAACTCCTGGGCTCAAGAGATGCTTCTGCCTCAGTCACCCAAAGTGTAGGAATTACAGGCATGAGCCACCCATGCCTGGCCTAGTCTTCTACTATAAGAATTATCTATAACTAAATCTGTTAGTGATAACCTTTACAGTTCTCTCTAAAACTTTTTACTTGTAATATTTAACTAGAATATTTAAGCTCCTAAAATATTATATAATACTGTCAGTTCTCCAAAAATTTAAATGCTTAAAAAATATTGAGACATTTATAAGCCATTTAGTGTTGTTTTGAGCTCTATTATACATACTCAATATAATTACTTCGCTCATGAATGCTCTCTGTTTTTGCATTTGCTTTTAAGGCAGATAAAATTGAAGAAGGCTAGAAATGTACATTCATGTATACTCATAGACTTTTCAGGTTAAGAAAATCATGGACAGTCGATAAACTATTATTTCCGTTTTTACTGAAATACATATCAGAACTCTGGTTTGATTCTACTGTCTGATTCATGGGGCTGTGTACTTGTTTATATTCATTCTAGCTAAATAAATAATTTGTTGGAAGATTTAATATTTTTGTTTAAATGAAAACGGTAAGACATTTTTCAAAGGCCTAAAAGTCACATTCCATCTCCACCCTCAAAGCAACACTCTGTGTGTGTGTATGTGTGTGTGTGTTTTTGGGACAGAGTCTTGCTCTGTTGCCCAGGCTAGAGTGCCATGGCATCAGCCTACCTCACAGCAACCTCAAACTCCTGGGCTCAAACAATCCTACCTCCTCAGCTTCCTGAGTAGCTGGGACTACAGGCCTGAGCCACCACACCTGGCTAATTTTTTCTATTTTTAGTAGAGATGGGGTCTTCCTCTTGATTAGGCTGGTCTCAAACTTCTGAGCTCAAGTAATCCTCCCACCTCAGCCTCCTAGAGTGCTGGCATTACAGGTGTAAGCCACTGTGCCCAGCCTACTCTATTTTTCAAAGAGAAAAAAATAATGTTAACATTTTAGATCGCTTTATAAATGCTTTCACTATGACAAAGGAAAAACACACTACACCATACTATCGCCTGCCGGTGCCTTCTATATCTGCTGAAAACAACAAAACCAAGCACAGAGGTGAATCAGGGTAGTTGTTGGTTATTATTAGGGCTATTGTTTTCTGCACTTTAAGGGCCCAGACTTCTATCTAGAGGATGATGGAGTAATAAGGAAGAGCCATTTGCCAGTTTTAGAAAGCAACAAAGTGCCTAGGAGCTGGATAAAATTCAGGAATGTTGACAACTCCAGTATTCTGCTAGAGCAACTTCCCCTGAAAGATACTGTAGGCAATACCGTGTACACAGGTGCTATGATTAGGTATGATTTGCACAGTAGCTAGTTAGACTAAGCAAATCAGTGGAGAAGATGAGCATTCTACTCCATTTCATTCTTCAAACGAAGCCCTTCATTCTTAAAGATCACTCATGCACATACATCTAACAAAATGGCACTCAAGATCTATGAGTAGAAAAGTCATTCAGCAAATTCAATTTCTCTGTATTACTTGAAAGGCAGAGGTCCACAAGGAGTCTATAAGTCCATAAAGATAGGAGTAGGAATCTCAAGTAGTGGTAACTCCTTGGGGAGTGCTTTAAAATCTGTAGTTGTGATAGCATTATCTGCCTGGAAATGCCTGGTTTATTGTGCAGTAGGTAAATGTGGAAACAAGAAAGCAGCAATCCATAAATTAAAGATAATGCTAACAAAAAATACTGAAAACACAGAAGACTGGCAAAAAAGTAAAACTACCACCTGAGCATATGGCAGAAGAAAAAAATCTCTCCCAGTAATCATTTGGCAGGGATTAATGGACAGACAGTAGAGAGAGTGACACTAACAAGAGAGGAGGAAAACACAGTCTAAAAACATCTCAGATATCACCTCCATCTATGGCTTGAATTCTTATTGGAGATAAAGTTACTGTTCTGAAGCAAAAAGAAGGCAAACATCTTTTTCTTTTTTCTTTTATTTTCTTAGACAGAGTCTCACTCTGTTGCTCAGGCTAGAGTGCAGTGGTGTTAGCCTAGCTCACAGCAACCTCAAACTCCTAGGCTCAAGTGATTCTCCTGCCTCAGTCTCCCAAATTGCTGGGACTACAGGCGCCCACCACCACTCCTGGCTAATTTTTTCTATCTTTAGTAGAGATAGTGTTTCACTCTTGCTAGGGCTGGTCTAGCATTCCCGCGCTCAAGCGATCTTCCCGCTTTTGCCTCCTAGAGTGCTAGGATTACAGGCGTGAGCCACTGCGCCCAGCCTGATTTAATTTGATCAGAGAATGCAAGGGAATCTTTGCCAGGTAGAAAGAGGCAGAACTATTAAAGTTTTCATCCCCTTCCTGCTGGATGGCAAAGCAGAATTCTTTAGAGAGGAATCAGAGCCACTGTAAGATTTATCATCTTTGAAATTGGGAAAAGGCAAATATCAAGGGTGAAATGATAGAAAAGATGAACCCAACTGGGATCTTTCTGAATGGATCTAGCTTTTAGGAATATTTATTCCATCCAAATTCATGGCTTATTTATAATTCTCTAGTTAGGCAAAATTTGTGTTAACACACTGTTCTGGTAGTAAAGTACATATTGCAAAACAATACAAGTAAAAGAAATTTAAATTTTTAAAAGGTAGATCCAAATATGTGAGTTTAAATGAA